GGCGAAGAGAAAGAAGGAGAAGGACGAGAAGAAGAAGGAGGTGTCCACGAGAACCATTCGTCGTTCAACAATGTCAACCGTTCGTTCATCTCGTTTCATCGTTCCGTCAATCCCTTCGTTTAGAGGTGAGTAGTTGTCCCCTCTAATTCTAGAACATTTAGTTATAATCTATGTCGTTATATTCATAGGAATATCGTACGCAACCTACGTAGATTCTATGCATGTCTGTAGGTTAACCATCAAGCATACGTGTGTTCACGTTATCAAGTTATGTACTCGTTAATATAAATGTTTTGAAACCTTGTAAGTTCATCGATTATTTAGCATGGAAATGTAAGCATTCGTTTCTAAAACTTCCAACGTTTTGATGACAAACAAACAGATAAAATGGAAATCAGCGTGCCTTGATAATCGAGTTACAGGATAGTACAATCGACTGTCAGGCCATGCTGGACTCCTCAGTTTATTCAGCACAGCGTGATAATCGATTATCACATATGTGATAATCGACTATCAGGCCCTGCGGATTCTTGGGTTTGAGTTGGCTTCACTGGTAATCGATTATCACATAGTCAATAATCGATTATCAGGGCTCTCTGAACTTGGAACATCTAGACAAACCAACTTGACAATCGATTATCCTAGGGTGGCAATCGACTACCACAGTCTGCAGGACTTTAGGGACAGAAGCTGCACAACATGATAATCGTTTATCAACAGTGGACAATCGATTATCAGCCAGTTCTGAACCCAAGGCCATCACGTTGAACAAATTGTGATCAAACACATATGTACACCATGAATTTAACTTCCTTCTTCAATCAATGCATTCATTTCATCATGTTCATCCTAGACGCATGTACTAGGTTCATCATCATGTGCATACCGCTGTAGGGAGGTCAGGCTTCCGTGCGCCTACTACAGTGTGCCCGTCCAGGAACCTTTGGGATCCAACGGGTTTTTCATCAGGTGGGCTTTGTGTACGTACATGGTAGTCAGGCTACGGCTACCACCCGGTTTTTGCTAGTTCACTTGCGACATTTCCGTCGAGCCCGACTCATTACCGGAGTGCAGGGGTGATCTTGTCAAGTGAGACTAAGTCAGGGGTGTCCCTAATAGTTTAAGTCATGCATCAAGTCATATCGTCATCATGTATGTTCCATGTCACGTCAATATTCAATGTGGTTGTCATCATCATGTATGTTCCCCATCATGTCCATATTCAATGTGGTAGTACATCATTTTGTTATGTGTAATAATATCCCATCAAGTGCAAATTAATCAGTTAGTAAACATGTGGGTTTTCATACGTTAAGTACAGGTACTAATATGTGTGTAGCCATATGGGTTATCACTTAATGTTCTTTTGTTGGATTCACTCCTCAGCTTTAATTTTGCTGAGCGTGTAGTTGTTTTCGCTACACGCAGGTAGACATGACGGTACAGGTAACCCTGGAGGACAGTGATGATGAGGAGATGGGCGGTGCATGGACGAGTTTAATATTTATTTTCATTTAATCAAATAATCATTCGGGCATGAACCCACCATATGACGTTTTACTTATTCTGGACTTATATATTTACTTCCGCTTTTACTCTGCATTTATGTCGCACATGTTTTGCAAATAACTCCCTATCATTTATTTCATAAATTAAACCCAACCGTTACATAATAAATAGACATTAATGCATTTTTCTCTACGGACGGTTCTCGGACCGCCCATGTAACCCTACCGGTCCGTTGGGTTGCGGGTGAACCGGGTCCACGGAAGGCGGGTGTTACAAAACTAGTGTGGTGCTTTGACGGAGTTCAAGAGACCGGAACTTAGTGGATTCGGAAATCCTTGAGGAGGAGCCTCGATGTACTGGAGTAGGGAGTTCCCAAACTAGTATAAAATCGGTGTGCATTTTATTTACGCTTTTATTTCTACGTTTTATATATTGCTTCCGCATTTGCCAACACCGTTTTTGTTAAACTCTGAAAAGTTTGCAAACGCCTTATTCACCCCCCCTCTAAGGCGTGGCCACAACGACTAACACCAAATAACAATTGTTATCAGAGCAGTTTCGTAGTTGAAAGTGCTTAACCGCATCTACGACAAAGTTCCACTTGTTGTGTCCCTTTTAAAATCTCAAAATTTTATTATTTTCTTTAAATTCAAATTTATTGAAAAATGGCCCAAATGGACTCTCAAAGCATCCACCGCCCTCCGTTTTTCAATGGCCTAAATTATTCTTATTGGAAAATCGGATGGAATATTTTATTCAATCAATTGATTATGATTTATGGTTGAATGTACTTCACGGGCCATTTGTGCCGAGTAGTGGTTATTTTGCAGGTTTGTCTTTGGAAGACAAGAGGAAGCTATCAATGAATGCAAAAGCAATTAACATTTTGCATTGCTCTCTTGGTCCTGACGAATTCGCACGTGTTTGCTCTTGCAAAACGGCTAAAGAGGTGTGGGATCTACTCCAAGCTACACATGAAAGAGAAACCTCAACAAAACAAACCATGCTACCCCCCGGGAATTCGGAATACGAATCCTTCAAGAAAGGGTCATCATGTGAGACAATCGAAGATATGAACAAGAGGTTCAACGAGATTGTCAACAAATTGAGTAAGTTGGGTACGATGTATACTACTTCCGAGCTTAATACAAAAATTTTATTTTCTTTACCTAAAAAATGGAGTATATTCTTTAATTGGTCCTTTATAACAGAGAGGTTTCCCTATTTAGTCCTTTATTATCAAATATTACCCCAGTGGTCCTTCTTTTATGAGTATCTTTCCACAAATAGTCCTTTTTTTGATCTTCTATCATGTTGGTGTTAATTTAAGGGCTAAAAGTGTAATTTCACAATGACAATATATCTTTTTTGTCATACACAATTCCAAAGGTTGTTCTGTTTGTGTCGTTTGTAAATTACAGTCGCTTTCAACTACAACCATAGTCTACAAATGTGGTCTTTCGTCAGAATCCTAGCCCACAATCATAGTCATTATTTTTGTGTTATCCGCTTAACCAATATCAGAACACGTCACTAGACATAATGTTGATGTCAAATTATACTTTTAGCATTTAAATTAACACCAACATGACAGAAGATAAAAAAGACCATTTGTGGAAAGGCACCCTTAAAAAAGGACTACGGGGTAAAATTTGATAATAGAGGACTAAATATGGAAACCTCCATGTTATAAAGGACCAATTATGAAATTTACTTAAAAAATGGCATAGTAGTATCGTAGATTTATTACCCAAATATGATAAGGCCGAAACCGCCCATTTGGTCTTCCTTGTTCCCAAATATGATAAGGCCGAAACCGCCCATTTGGTCTTCCTTGTATTCTCACGAACTTTTGTTGAGAAAGATCAAAGATGAAAAAATGCGTAAAAATCCCAAACTTACCAACACCTTCAAAGCTTCAAAAGACTCGTCTAGTGAAGAGTCAAGTGAATCAAGTGATGATTCAAGTGACTCAAGCACTTCGGAAGAGTCAAATGTTGAAGAAGATGAAGAGAAGGCAATGAGAATGAAATATACAGATTTCCTCAAATGGAAGAAGTATGTGAAGAGGAAAGAAATATTTTCAAAGCCGAAAAAAGAGCGGCATAAGACAAGGTAAATTCCTCTCACTTATTGGGATAAGATATTTTGTTTGGTTTTAATTATTTTCAAAAATAAAATCTTATCTCATAAGTGCTTTTATTTGCTTTAGCCTTGGTTTGCATGATTAAATAATTTTTTAAAATTCATCTTCAAATCATGCTTTTTAGAAAATAATCCCTAAAAACCCTGAAAAAATTAAGTTTTTAAACTTGCATCATTTTAGGGGGAGTCTTCGTTTTTTAGGGGGAGTTTTGTTGTAAATGCACCTTTTGCCCAATGATCTCCAAACTATCATTTTTAAAAAAAAAATCATTTTGATAGGGGGAGGGTATTCAAGAAGTTATACATGACTAAAATTTTCAAAATGCCCTTTTTGATTTTGACAAAAGGGGGAGAAGATGTATACTTCAAAGTGGTGCATATGCAACTTGACTTGAGTGCATTCTTGTGTAACTATTTGCATCAAACTTAAACTTTTAATAAACACAAGAAAAAGTTCAAAGTGAGTATTTTAAATATGTTTATTCTTAGGGAGAGCTTGCTTGCTTCATTTTTATACTCCCGCCTAACTCACTTTGAAGTATATTGTTTGTCAACATCAAAAGGGGAGAGATTGTTAGCCTTGGTTTGCTAAGCCTCGTGTTTTGATGTTAACAAACAATATAAGAGCTAAATGTTTGTTTAAATGTTTCAGGTACAACAAGAATCCATTAAGATTCGGTACTCAAGAATGAATTCGAAACACTAAACTAGCGTAGAATATAGGTAGAAACCAATGTAAGGATATGATTTTATATACCTATATTTACAAGCTCAAGTGCACTCAAAAAATATGTTTAAAACCCTTTTATAATCATTTTCAAACATCCAAAAGGTTTTAAACAAAATTGAAAACGATTTGGACAAAAATGAAAAAATTGCCAAAATGGTCAGTAGGTACCTAGGTACCATGAGTAGGTACCGTGAGGGGTACCGTGAGTCAATCTGAGAAGGTACCCCCTACCGTATGGACGGGACCCCCCTACCGTAACGGGTACCGTAAGAGGATAGGTACCGCCAGAGAGTTTTGGCCTGAGAAGGTACCTAGCTACCGTACGGCACCTAGCTACCGTGACGGGGTACCGTTACCGTTGGAACACTATTCCTTATTGCTGATTTTTGAATAAATTCAACTCTAATCACCTCCTAACGGCTAATTAACATCTTCCACTATAAATATAGGCCTAATACTTCATATTTCAAAAGGAAACAAAGCTCCAAACATCTTCCCTTTATATTCTAAGTGTGTTCATTCTTTTATTAATTATTTTCAATATTTTGGCTATTTCAAGAGCCTTAAATTCCTGATTTTTATACACACACTTTGAGCTTGTGTTTCTAGTTATATACTCTCATATTCATAAGTTCGTATTGTATTTTTGAGAGAGTATAATTCCCTTCTACACCGGCTAAGTTTTTGTTCTTCATTTGTATATTCTAGCCGTTGTGTAGAATCCTCTTTTGTGTTCTTCAAACACACATTGTTACGGTCGAGAATAGCCGTTAAATTCTCACATTGTAACGGTTAAGGATAGCCGTATAAATCCTTGAGTAAAGGTTCAAGTATAGCCTTGGAAATCCTTGAGGGAACGGTAGAAGATAGCTGTAATTCTTCATTGTAAACGGTTCGAGATAGCCGTTGTGAAATCTCGGAGTGAATCCTATTGGCAAGGGTTGTTTGCCAAACTAGTGCGGTGCTTTGACGGAGTTCAAGAGACCGGAACTTAGTGGATTTGGAAATCCTTGAGGAGGAGCCTCGAGAAACTAGAGTAGGGAGTTCCCGAACCAGTATAAAATCAGTGTGCATTTTATTTACACTTTTATTTCTGCGTTTTATATATTGCTTCCGCATTTTCCAACACCATTTTTGTTAAACTATGAAAAGTTTTCAAACACCTTATTCACCCCACTCTAAGGCGTGGGCACAACGACTAAAACCAAATAACAAATGATACCATTTGTGATTCATGTTAAAAGGGCAAGCAAGTAAGGGTCTCATTTAAATCGAAAAATGTTGTGTCTACAACAAGGCCCCTACAACTTTTGCACATGGATCTCTTTGGACCATCAAGAACAAAAAGTTTTGGTGGCAACTATTTCGCCTATGTGATCGTTGATGACTACTCTCGATTCACATGGACATTATTTCTAAATCATAAAAGTGAGGCATTTCATGTTTTCAAAACTTTTCTCAAAAAGGTTCAAAATGAAAAAGGCTTAACCACCGTAGCCATACGAAGCTATCATGGTGGAGAGTTCGAACGAGATCTCTTTTCTGAGTTTTGTGACGAACTTGGCAACAAGCATAACTTATCCGCTCCACGTACACCACAACAAAATGGCGTGGTGGAACGTAAAAATCGATGTCTCGAGGAGATGACTAGAACTATGCTCGATACCGTGAGTACCGTGAGTATTTTTGGGCGGATACCGTGAGTACCGCGAGCTACGTGTTAAACCGAGCCGTCATTAGACCGATACTCATGAAAACCCCATATGAACTATACAAATGAAGAAAGCCAAACTTCTCCCATCTTCGAGTCTTTGGTTGCAAATGTTTGTTCAGAATAATGGAAAAGATAACTTGGGTAAATTCGATGCAAAGTTGGATGAAGGAATTTTCCTTGGTTACTCATTGCGTAGTAAGGCTTATAGAGTCTTCAACAAACGCACCTTAACCAGTGAGGAATCTCCTCACGTTGTCTTTGCCGAAAGTGATACTCGCTTGGTGAGAAAGGTTTCTTATGATGATCTTGTAGATTCGTTGGAGAACATCTATCTCAATGACAATGACAAAGGAAACAACTCAAAGGAAACACAAGACGAAGAAGAAGAGCCACCTATGGACGAGGAACAACAACAAGAGGAAGAGATGCCAATGCCAATGGCGTGGAGGATTTCAAAGGACCATCCTCTTGACAAGGTAATCGGTGACATCAACCGAAGGGTAAGTACTCGTAACTCTCTTAGGGACACCATAGGTCACATGGCTTTCATTTCTCAAATTGAACCTACAACCATTTCGAAATCAATTGATGATGAACATTGGACCTTGGCAATGCAAGAGGAGCATAACCAATTCAAACGAAATGACGTTTGGGAATTGGTGCCAAGACCCGATGATCATACCATAATTGGTACGAAATGGGTGTTCCATAACAAACTTGATGAAAATGGGATAATCACTACAAACAAAGCTAGGCTCGTAGCTAAAGTCTACAATCAAGAAGAAGACATTGATTTCGAAGAAACTTATGCACCGGTAGCACGTTTAGAAGCTATTCGTTTATTACTTGCTTGTGCTTCATCTATGGATTTTAAACTGTACCAAATGGACGTTAAGAGTGCCTTCCTCAATGGTTTTATTCAAGAGGAAGTGTATGTTGATCAACCCCCGGGCTTTGAGGATTTTGAGCACCCGGACTATGTCTTTAAACTAAAGAAAGCACTCTACGGTCTCAAACAAGCACCTCGTGCTTGGTATGAATGGTTGAGTAAATTTCTTTTGGACAACAGGTCCAAAAGGGGGAAGGTTGACACTATGCTTTTCATCAAGAGTAAAAACGATAACATCCTCTTGGCACAAGTTTACGTAGATGACATTATATTCGGTGCTACTAACGAATCTTTGTGCAAGGAATTTTCAAATCTAATGACGAACAAATTTGAGATGTCCATGATGGGAGAACTCAATTTCTTCTTGGGCTTACAAGTCAATCAAATGAGAAAAGGAACTTTCATTTGTCAATCAAAGTATTGCAAGGAGCTCCTCAAAAGATTTGAAATGGACGGCTCCAAGGCAATGGCTACCCCGATGAGCACCTCCAAACACTTGACGAAGATGAAGAGGGTAAGGAAGTATCGAGGTATGATCGGATCCCTTCTTTATCTTACCGATCTTACCGCTAGTAGACCCGATATCATGTTTAGCATTTGTTTATGTGCAAAGTATCAATCTTGTCCGAAAGAATAGCACTTGACGGCGGTGAAACGGATAATGAAATATCTCGTTGGAACAATGAATGTTGGACTATGGTACCCCAAAGGGTCTCCTTGTCATCTTTTTGGCTATTCCGACTCGGACTTTGCCGGTTGTAGACTAGACAGTAAAAGCACGAGTGAGACGTGTCACTTGCTTGGTAGCTCGTTAGTTTCATGGTTTAGTAAGAAGTAAGTCAGTGTTGCGTTATCCACAACCGAAGCATAATATGTTGTCGTCGGAAATTGTTGTGCTAAAATCCTTTGGATGAAGCAACAAGTAGTGGACTATGGTTTTAGTATTGATCACGTTCCTCTTTGATGTGATAATACTAGCGCTATAAGCTTGACGAAGAATCCCGTTCTTCACTCAAGGACGAAACATGTTTACATTAGGCATCATTTCATTAGAGATCATGTTCTCAAAGGTGATGTCGAAATTGAGTTCATTGAAACACACAACCAATTAGCTGACATTTTCACAAAACCTTTAAAGAAAGAATCGTTCTTCCGCATCCGAAGTGAACTCGGAATTCTAGACTCCACGATGATCTAATTTGTGCATTAAAATTTCTTTTTGGGTCCTTACTAACTTGAACGTCGGAGACGTTTTTAACTCTTTTTTGCAGGACTCTTTTTAGGCTCAAAGTCAGGGGGAATAAAGGAAATGTTTTTCAGGATGACGGGTCAGTCGACTATCACATTTGTGATACTCGATTATTACTGCCCGCAAAAGTTAGAGCAAATCTGGTGCAAAACCCAACAATCGATTATCCACACATGGATATTCGAATATCAAGGGCCGCTGGAATTTTTAGACTCCAGGAGAAAACATGTGTCAGTCAACTATCAAAAGCCGGACAATCGATTAACAAGGTCTGCAGGTTCTTCAGCAGAAAACCAGAGAACCCGATACTCGATTGACAGATTGTGACAATCGACTATCAACTGCAAATTTTCAAAAAATCTGACCGTTTTATAGCCGTTTGAAGTGCATTTAACACACATTTTACTTCTCCAACGGATCTCTAAGCCTCCTCTACTATAAATTGGTGATATCTCTTCATTCTTTACTCATTCCAATCACATTTTCTCCATAAATTCATTATTCTTTCATATTTTTACTCAATTATTGCACTTGTTCTTCAAGTTTTTTTCCAAATCTCTGCAATTTTCTTTTCTCTCTCTCTCTCTCTCTTGGTGATATGGCAGACGGACAAAGAAAGAGATCCCGCACCGGAAAGAACGTCGCATCCTCCACGGCTCCTCCACCGCCACCGGCGAACAAGTATCTTGACGGGTCGTTCCTATGGTTCAACAGCCGGATTGAGATGACTTGCTTCATGGAGAAGTTTGAGCACCGGGAAATTCTTCCTCCCCGGTTCTCCACCGCGCGTTTCATCCATGGGGCCGTTCCTCAAGAGGCACGGAATATTCTCTCCTGGGAAACTTTCTCGAACTCCTCTACATCAAGAAGGCACATTATCAACCTTTTCTCGTTCGAGCATTCTACTCGAACTTGAAAAAGGATGAGGACAGAGCATTGATTTCAAACGTAAACAAAGTCGACATCTACTTGAGTGAGGAGAACATGCTAATCCTCACCGAGCTTCGTTGGGATGGAAAGGACCTCAGCCTCTACGTCGGAGAAGGAGGGGCACGGTTCAATGAAACTGCTCTATTGGAGGAAGTGGGAATCTGGAACTTCACTCCCACTCCCCTAAAGCCCCGCCCCACGATTACTTCCATGAATTCCGTGTTTCGATTCATCTTTTATGTTTTGACATGGATTCTCAAGCCAAGGAAGTACAACCACAGCTCTCTCTCCCAAGAGGACACCAAGACGCTCCATGCGATGATTCACAATGCCAACATCAATTGGTGTAAATTCGTGATGACTCATATGTTCAATGCAACCTCCGATGATCAGCCACTCCCCTACGCCCTTCTAGTCATAGCGATTCTTGATGAATACCACATCAAGACCGACGTTGGACCAAAGCGAAAGGGGACGAAGCATTGGGAGATTGATGAATCCTCCTTCCACTCGGGCAACGGTGAAACTCCGTTCTCGCCGCCTTGTCCACGCCGCCAACCAAGGGAAGCATCTTCAAGCTCTCCATCCCTATCCGAGCAAATGGCCGCTTTGACCGCCACTCTCTCTCAGATAGACACAAACGTCGCTCAAATAGCCGAAAGTGTGAACACATTAAGCCATGAGCTTCACGGGTATTTTGACTTTGTCAACTACCCATATGCCCAAATGGTCCCTTACGTTCCTCCCCCAAACTTCGGGAATGAGGGTCAACCAAGTGGGGTGAACGACGTTGAGGATGAAGAAGAAGAAGAGGAGGAGAACGAAGAAAATGAAGACGAAGAAGAGGAAACCGAAGAAGAAACCGAAGAAGAAGATGAAGAAGATGAAGATGAAGAAGACGTTGACAAAGACAAACTCCTCGATGATTCTTCCGAGGAGTTCTAGAGCTCTAGCTCTTTTCTTTATCTCTCTCCTACTTTATGTTTTTTAAATTTCTTCCGTTGTGTACTCCGCTTTTCCCGTAATCAATAAATAAAATATTTGTGGTTTTAAATCTTTTTGTTAATGTCAAAAGGGGGAAGATAAGGGCTATGCATATATTAAGGGGGAATTTTTTTCAAAAAGATCAAAACCCTATGCATATCCCCGTCTAGTTTGCCATTATCAAAAAGAAGAAATTGTTGGAACACACTTTTCATTGCGATGAACTAAAGTCGTGTTAATTTCTGACAGGTTTTGATAATTGCCAAACCGCCGTGGATATGAAGAGTTTCGTTGAACAATTCAAGGCAAGAAGAAAGGAATGGAACAAGACCAAGAGACTCAAGGACAAGATCAAGAATTGCAAACTTAGTCGAGTCGGTCTCATTGTGATTAAAACCGACAATCAATTCAAGTCTCAGTTCTCAAAGAGTCAAAATAATTTTACAAAATCATAACACCTTTTTATGCATCAAAATAAACGTTTTTAATAAGGTTCTTAATCCCTGGTCCTTGCCCAAACCAAAACCACACATTCGGCGTCCGGCATTCGGCGTTCAGCGTCCGGCATTCGGCGTTCCGCGTTCGGTTTTTGGCGTCCAAACCAACTAAGTGGTTTTCAATATTTTACACTTCGTTTTTACCTCTGGGCATATTTAGAAGGTTCCCAAACAATTATTTTATAAAAACCATTTTTGTATTTTGGCCAATCTGTCTAACACGTGAAAATCGGTCAAAACTGTCAACACGTGACAAACGACCTCGAAGACTTGGTTTTTAATAAACAAGTCTTGATTTTACTATTTTATTCCATATACAAAGTTTTTCTACCTTGGTTTTTACTTTTGGGAACACTTCATTTTTGGACCTTGGTTTTTCAAGTTAGTTTTCGCAGGAATGGTCTTAGCTGGATGATAATCGATTGTCACTTTTTCAACAATTGACTATCACATGTTGCTTTTTCTGAACTCTAGGTTCAGGACCATCCTATACTCGATTAACACTTGTTGTCACTCGATTATCTGCGTTTTTCTACAAAACCAATATTTTCAGAGAGGCTTGATAGTTGATTATCACTCTTCAGACAATCGACTATCAGTGTTACCGTTGCCCTCCAACGGATAGAATTTCAAATTTTTTGACACGGAATCTTTTCACAATTGATTATCATGTCTAGACAATCGATTATCAGTCTGTGACTCTGAAATTTTTGTCCTGATCCTGTTGGAACTCTTGCAACGGTTACACCACAATTTGGGCTATAAAATGGCACCCAAATCCTCTCATTTTACACACAATTCTTCAACATTTCAATACTCTTTCATTGCATAATCATTCTTCATATTTCATAGCTTTTTGAGAGCCAATTCTTGAAGAAAGTGTCGTGTTCTTGAGCGTTTACTAGTTCACTCATATCTACTCTTTGTGAGAGTTTTATTCCTGAGTGAACAAGTGTTTCTATACACTTGAAGGGAGCTTGTTCCCTTGTTGTAGTTCGAAGGAAATTTTCGTTTCTTCGTGTGAAGTCTTGGAGTGCGGTATCTCTGAGCAAAGGCGTTGAGGCTCGTGTGACTCGAGTTCTCAAGTTGTATCGGTTTGTTGAGCACCTTTAAGTTTAACGGAGTTAGTGTATCTCGATAGAGTCTCTCGGGAGGCTGGATTAGCTACACGTTGTAGTGAACCAGGATAAAATTTGGTGTGCTGCCTCCTTACGCTTTTTACTTTACCTTCCTCGTTTTTAAATTCTTGCAATTTTGTTTTAAACACTATTCATCCCCCCCCCTCTAGCATTAGGCCATTATTCTAACATTGTTTTCTTTATTTAGGAATCCCAAAATAAAAGTTGGGAGATGCTAGGGGTACACCAAGGTTCTACCCCAAATGTACACCACTCATTTTTTTACCACTCATTTTTATATATTTATTTCTTTTTTATTTTACTTATCAATATATGTGGTATTGGAGGGGGTGGTGTACATTTGAGGTACACCTTTGGTGTACCCCTAGCATTTTTTCTACAAATTTACTTTTGGTACAATTATATATATGTTTTCTCAAATTTTATGAAAATCAAGCAAAGAGAAGGAGTGCCTTGAAAAATTCTTTTGGTAGATCGAGAAATGCAAGTCATGCATTCAAGCATAGTTTGAAAGCATAGTTTTTCAAAACTGGACCAGTGACCGAATCGGTCAAGGTACTGATTCACTGGTCGAACCAGTGGTTCAACTAGTCGATCCTGTGGTAAAATCTGTGTGTGTGTGTATGTATATGTATACATATACATACACACACACACACATACATATAGACACACACACTTTCTCATTTATAAATACCTAAAGAAAGTAATTTATAACATTTGACTAAAATTATATTAATATACTTGAGTTATTTTATTAAGTTAAAAAATAAAATTTACGTATTAAAAGAATAATATTAAAAATTTTATAAATGAAGAGTTGATTTTATTATTTTCAAATAAGTTGTTTAATATTAAAAAATACTTAAATGAAATATTTGCATGATATGCATTTTATAATAGTATCAATAATATCAATGATTTTGTATTTGACTCATAGGTATATAATATTATATTTTTAAAATTGAAAAGGAATTTTTATACAATCTTTATTTTAATTATGAAATATTATAAAAGATTATGTGAACTTGTAACAAATAACACCATTGCTTGGATGGTTAGGAACTCAACCAAAAGTCTAAGAGATCTTAGGTTAAGAATTAATATGGATAAAAGTGGTTTCTAATTGAAAAAGTATTGACTTTGTGATGAAATCGCAAAAAAAAAAAACTAGTCCGAGCGGTTTGACCGGCCGGTTCATAGCAGTTCACGCCGGTACGGACTGGTTTGAAGCTTGTTACGGTCCAAGGGACTGGACCGGACCCGGTAGGACCACCGGTTCACTGGTTCACGGTCCGAACCAGCCGGTCCAGTCTGGTTTTTAAAACTATGCATACAAGAGTCACAAAATATACAAATTTTTCATTTTTGTATTTAAACATGTATTTTCTCTTTCTCATAAAGATGTTCTTATTTATTTTGACTTTTATAAAATTTTATGAAGGAATATTTTTGCGTTGACTTTTTAAAAATATCCTTGATGTGATGAATAAGATGTGATGGGTAGATTATTAATAAAAAGATAGGATATGATAAGTAGGTTAAGAATTAATATGGATAAAAGTGGTTTTTAATTGAAAAAGTATTGATTTTGTGGGACAAAAATAAAAATTTATAGTATAAATAAAACTATGATAGGAATAAAAATTTACTTATTTACTTTACTCTCTTCAATTCCTATATAAAGAGAATTAGACTTTTCTTTATAAACAATTCAATAGAGAATTATTTTCTTCTCCTAATATTATCTAAAGTATTCTAACCTATACTATAGTCTAGTCTAGTAATATAAAGATACCTATAGATATTGGTGTTGATTTAGTAGGCATTACAAGATAAAAATTGTCTTCCACTAATTTGTCTAGAGTAGCTAGGTTAACGTGTAAGGCCACCGGAAATGGTGCTAACACCCTTGGGCGTTAAGTGTGTTTTAACGCACGGGAGCGTTAAACACCGCCCCCTTCACCGTTATCCGGGAGCTAAAAGGTTTGCGTTAAACCTTTGACGCAGCGCTTCTCCCTCTCCCAATGGTTCTCCCTCCCCCAACGGCCATAATTTGGACCGTTGGGCATTAATTTTAAAAAAAAATATTTTCAATATTATAAATACATTTATTTTTAACACAACAAACACACACTACTTATTCTCATTATCTTTGTAATTCCTCTAAAACATATTATATTTCTTTTAATTATCTCTACAAAATATTCAAAAAATGAGATCATCATTTTATTCAAATCTTATTTTATTAATGTAATTTTTTATTGAATGTAATTTTTTTATTTAATGAGTTACTGTCTTTAAATTCAATTAAATAAAGATATTTTATTAATTTAATTTTAGAAGAGATGTATTCAAAAATGTAAAAAAATAGAGGTTTGAAGCCCCAGTTTGAAGCCCGGGGTCTTCAAATCCATTTCCAGTGAAATTTTAGTGCAAGTTAAAACTGATGTGCCATAGATAGAAAGTTTGAAGCCCCGAGGCTTCACGACCATTTCCAGTGTTCTAAGCGTATTCGGTAGTGTTAAGCTCCCAGGTGCCTGACGTACGTTGGTTCCAATTCAGATCATTTGAGGAACCAAAATGACCAAGGCCAAAGGATGTGGGACGGAAAGGGAGACGGGATGGTGACGTGGCATGCGGTACCGCGTATTCGGCGAGCCGCATGAGCGAGACAGCAACCATTCACTTCCCGAAAGATTTTCTTCTTAAACTTTTTTTCGTATCTGGCTTCTTTTCCTCTTCGGCAGCCACAACCCTCGTTCGCGGCGGAGGTGTCCCCTTTAAAATTAGCAGTTGAAATATCCCTCCTAATCCCCTGCTGCTCCATCGTAGCTAAAAAGCCTTATGACTTATGAGTGGCGGATTTTCATTAGCCTCTAAGAAAGGGGTTTTGAATCATTTTGATACTTTGGTGTTTATACTATTAAGTTCTACTCCTTTCGTCCCAAAAATTTCTTTTCTTTTCTTTTTTTACTTATCCCATAAAATCTTTTTTATTTATTGAAAAAAGTCACTTCTACCCTTCCTAATTCATAATCTATCTATCACATTATATCTTTTTACTAATAATCTACATATCACATTCTACTTTTACTCATCACATCAAGAGTATTTTTGAGAAGTCAACATAAAAATATTCCTTACTTAAATTTCATAAAAGTCAAAATGGGAACATCTTTTTGGGACGGGAGAAGTACTACTCTGTTGGGTTGGAATTTCAGAGTTGGATGTTTGAAGAAACAAGAAAGAGTTGGAAAAAGCTGAAATAACTTGGAAAATTTTGGAAGAATTAAAATGTTAAAAGTCACCCAATTAAATAATCACCCAACTAAATATGTTTGAAAATTCTTGATGGGTGTATTCCACCCAGAACTTGGCCCAAAACTGGCTTGCATAAAGTAACCGGTCAAGTTGCAGACATGACGGCG